TAGGCTATCCAGCAAAAGCCTCCCTTCAGGGCTTGGGCGGGGCAGGTCTCATGGGATCAACAGGGTGGGGCTAGCAGTTATGGCTGCTCTTAGAGGCCCCCCTTCTCAGTGTCTTAGCAATTGCTGGAAGCCCCTCCGAGAGAAAGCTGCTCTCGAGTTCTGACCGATGCCAGACAGTCCCGCTTCTCCCGTCTGAGGCTGGGTCCCCAGAAACTCACCCGGAACTGGAGCTCAGAGCCTGAGACTCCCTCCCGATTGTAAACAACAACCGCGCCCTCAGGTGCTAGCCTACTCCGTGTGTGCCTCTGTACCTTAGTATTTTACTTCCGCATTGAGCCTCCTCTGAGTCTCAGTATGCTTTTCTCTTTCCTTCTAGTTGTAGAATTTCCACTCAGCCAGCCTTCCTGTGATTCTGGATGATGTCCCTTCCATCTTTTAGTTGTATTTTTGAAGTGGTTGTGCGAGGCAGCAAACTCCTGTGTTTACCTCTGCTGCCATCTTGTTTTTTTCCACATTTCTTTTCTTATTTATTTATTCATTTAATGAATGCGTGTGGATATAATGAATATGTATGGTGTGCCAGGCATTGTAACATGCCTCAAACAATGAGGAATGTTAATTTTTATGTCTTCAATGAATATACAGTCTCTTGGTGGAGAGAGACATAACCACAGATAATTCATAATGCCTTTTGATAAATGCTATAATAAAATTAAGACCAAAAATTTCAAAGGTGCACAGAGAGTTTAACAATTGACCAACTAGTATAGTAAAAGAAGGCATCACTGAGGCAGTGACTTTGAACTAGTTGTTTCATTACATGAAATTTATAGGTGTGTTTTTAGATGAAAATGGTAAGTGGCAGTGGAAATAAATTTTGACTTGTTTGTTTAGGAGGATCCTGACATACAGTTGCTATTGTTGTTGTTTTTCTTTTTGGAGACTCTCATTACTGGGTAATTTCCTTCACCAGAATGTGAGAGCCCTTATCTTCTTCTGATTTACAAAGTATTCCTATAACCAAGTTAATCATTTAAATCTTCCTTCAAATATAAGTTGATAAGTATGAGTTTTAGAAGCCTTTGCATTAATATATATGGTTAACTCATTTAAAGGACAGTGACTAGAATGGGTCCAACTAGATAGGGTAGCTCAGATCACCTTTGTCTCTGTCATTTGATAATATTTTTTAAAATTTATTTTTATTGTTGAAAGTATTACAGATGTCCCCTTTGTTTGTGTTTTACTTTTTCACATTGACCCCCTCCACCCCATACCCTCCCCTTCCAGGCCTTCACCGCTCTATTGTATGTCCTTGGGTGATGAGTACATGCATATAATTTCCCCAGTTAATCACTTCTCTCCCATCATCCCTCTGAAATTCGTCAGTCTGTTCCATGCTTCTATTTCTCTGGCTTTATTTTATTCGTAAGTTTATTTTGTTTATTAGATTCCACATATGAGTGAGATCATGTGATACTTTGAAT